GGCCGTGCTTGGGCAGGGGGGTTGGACTGGATGGCCCACAGAGGTCCCTTCCAACCCCTAACGTTCTGTGATTCAAGATCGGATGATTCCTGAAGTAGTAGTTAAGAATCCAGATAATTTTTAAAGACAGCTCTGGATAACCAAAAGGCCGGGGCCTACTAACCAATATAGATTCAGACAAGCAGGTCTTCAGTATTTTGACATAACTGCACTCACTCGCATTTTCTATAGGGTATTTCTGGCCTGAAAGGGGATACGAGAATTTTCATTTTCAGAAAGCCAGTATTTATGACTATTCATCAAACATCATTTAGCAATGGAAAATACTAAAGTATGAGTCATGTAAACTTCACATAAATTTTGTTTGAGTGTATCGAGCTTTTAGAGATGTTTTGTGTTTTGAAAATAAATATAATAAAGGGTATCACCTATCCAGAGATGTTTACACCAAGTTGTCTATCAGAATGGTGTCTATACAGAAACTTTCATACACAAATATTGTAGAGGAGAGATTTAGTGAAGTTACAGATTTATCCTAGAAGAAAGTTAAGATTATTCTAGCAAAATCTGGTTCCTTCAGTCTCCTTTACTTGTTTGTACAATATATTTTTCTAAAATAATAGAGGCTTCCAAAATAAATCTTATATGCAGGTATAAGAAGAGCTGTCCTAAGTCAAACCAAAAGTCCATATATTCCAGTATTTTAACTCCTGTATCAATAAGTGGAAATGCCAAGAAAACAGGATAAGAAAAGGGCAAGCACATTTCCTCCAGCTTCCACCCGTTTTCATGTCAAAGATTTTCCTAAGCTGTCATTTCTAAGGATGGAGTTTCTACGTATTTAGCAACCTCAAATGTATCTCTCCTCCATGATTCTGTTCACCTTCCTTCTGCACCTGTAGCATATTTCGGTAAAAAAATGCATGAACATTTAGCAACACACAAAGCAGTCAAAAACTCAAAGGTCTCTGATTCAAGCAGAATTCTTCATCAAGCATATTCCATTGCTGCAGAGCAAGAGCACTCTCTTTCAGGATTGTCCACCTGACCCAGCCATACTCCTTTCTAAAGGCTTATAATTTACTAAGGACATACATAAAACAAATGCTGTCCCCATTGCAAGAGGAATTACAAGTTTATCGTAGCCTCTAACCCCTACTTCCAAAAGTTTGAATCTTAGCAGTAGTATTGCAGTATAAATAAAAGATTAGACTAGGACTCACGTGCTTAGCATTCTAATTCCTGGCTGCACACCTGGCAAATCACTTTACTGCTCTGTGCTTCAGTGTCTCCATCTGTAAAACGTGAATAATACTGCTGATTTCCTTTGAAAAAAATGTGAGAGCTGTTAAGGAAAAGTAATGTACGAGTAGGGTACTGCTATTCTTACAGTTGATTTTGTACACAGAAACCTCTGTTGAATCGGTTATTTGAGTAGGATTAATGAGATGGTTTATTCTTTCTTCTCTTATTGGCTAATACATATCTTTTCTACTTCGTAACACCAAAGAGCATTGGACTGGGGAAATGTGGACTGAAGGATGTATCTCTCTTGCAAGTGGAACCACTTAGTTGCCGAAAGTAGGAAAAAAGTTCTCTTTCAATAGCTGATCATGAATTCCTATGATATTAGAGAAGCCAACATACATGAGTATTTTTTTCTCAATGATCTGTGTTTGTAGCCCTTAATCTGCATATCAGGAAAAGACTAATTTCTTATAGTAAGACATCTCTAAGAAATGAAACTGTATCCAAAGACATCTGTATGTTCTCTGCTGGTGCAGACATTACCAAGAAAGTTCAGGCAAGCAAGCACTGCCAAGTATATCCCCAGTATCTAAGGAATACAGAAAAAAAATCCAACTGCAACCATACATCATGTCTCTCTTAGACAGTTTCCTTCTCTCAGGTGTTCATTTTTTGAGTCCCCAAAACTACCTGAAAAAGCTTCCATGGAAACTTGATCCTTGCAAGATAGTGAGAGCTTTCATTTGGAGAGATTCTAGCAAAATTTCTCTCTGAGCAGACAAAAGAGTATGCAGAACGTTCGTTCACTCACAGTGTTAGTATAGAATAATGGGCAAAACAGGCTGACTTGGAAGATTTAAAGAGCAGGAAAAAAAAATCCCCAAAACTACCTGAAAAAGCTTCCATGGAAACTTGATCCTTGCAAGATAGTGAGAGCTTTCATTTGGAGAGATTCTAGCAAAATTTCTCTCTGAGCAGACAAAAGAGTATGCAGAACGTTCGTTCACTCACAGTGTTAGTATAGAATAATGGGCAAAACAGGCTGACTTGGAAGATTTAAAGAGCAGGAAAAAAAAAAACCACCACAAGAAAAGCCCTGCAACAATAATAGCAACCTTTGTTGCCTCTGAATCGCAAAGATCAAAACAGTAGATTTTTGCAATACAAAACCTACAGTTATTTTTTTTTTCCTTTTTAAAGGGAAAGAAGGACTCAAGCTTTCTAAAGCTTCTAAAGCTATGAGGAAAGGTAGTATTTTCCTGCTTAACAGGTAACTCTACTCTTGAAGCCTCCACCAAAGAGGCTTTGGAACAAAGACCTTCAGGCATGTCAACTCTCTTTAGTTTAACACAGATCAGAGACAATGTCTTGAATTAGCAACTGAAATATCTTTCTTTCAGATAAGCATCTCTGTTTCTGTGAATTCCAAAGAACAGAAGGTCATTATGCTACACTAGAAAGATTGTGAAAAATACAAGACCCATCACAATATATTAAAAACATATCAACAGAAGTAATTTTGTAATAGGGCAACAAGTAATTTCCATGTTAGTGTTAATAATGCAATTGCAAATGATAACCTACATGTATTTCTTAGGTAACAGAAGACACACAAGGGTGAATTTCAGCTATTAAAACACCCACTTGCGAATGATCTGTTTGGCTGATATGCTTAGCAGATCTACCTAAAATGCAAACCAGGCAGAAATGTTACTTATGTTACTTACACAATACCACACCACAGATTGCGGAAGACACATGAGGGAAATCTGGTACAGGGAAGGGCATGCCCTTCTTTGATCAGGACATATGGAGCACCCATGCGGAGATGACACTGCATTTAAACTAAGTAATAAAAGCAGATCAGTGTTGGTTTCTGCTTCAGTGCTCTCTCCAAACTCCATACTTGGTGCCTGACATATGTTCTACTGTAAAATAACAGATATGGGAGATGGAAACCCAAGGAATTAAGCTCAATTTTCCAGACATTGCCCACCAGAACTCCCACTGAAATGGGATACAGCCCTATAACATCTTGTACCTCAGATAGAATCTGAGAGTCATAACACACCAACCATATATTTCACATAGGCTGATTTCACTTTCAAAAAAAATATTTAAATAAATCTTACAGTAAAAATATGAACAAATTTGGGTTAGCAAAGAATGATGAAAAATATACTTTTTTCCAGGATTAAACTCATGCGTGTTCACTTTCTCATTATGTAGCATGTGAAAACACCTCAGAAGAATCACTCTCCTTGAAACACATCAAAAACAGATACAGCTGACATTTTACCTTTTTATTCCTGAATAAATCCAAATGAAATTAATTTACAATGCATTTTTCATTAAGAAAAAGATGTCACAGACACTTTAATTCTCTTCCTACTGAAATTATAATATTTCTTCACCAACAAGCTTCATTATCCCTAGTCCTTGGTGCTAAGTTGATCCAAACAAAACCAAAAAAAAAAGGGACTACACTACCAATACTCTTCAAACAGATGCTCTCTTCTGTACTTTACCAACTGCACTTTGGGATGCATTTTGCACATACGTAGTGCTACTATAGGTGGGTGACCTCCGGATCAGGTTGGAGACTTCCAGTACCAACTGTTGTAGGAATAGCATATGCAGAAGTAGTAGTCTCGCACTTCAAAACAAGAGAACAATGATGCAGGGAACTACAAATCATCCTTCAGTGACAGACTTCAAAGAACAAGGGCGGAGTATAGTCTTGTGGTAGAATTAACTCAATGCATGAAAAGGTTGTCAAGAGATAAATCAATTCTTCTTTGGTTGTGAGCAAACATACTTTCTATATTCGCTTTTCACACGTAAAGATTAATATTTAACAATAACTGGGTTAAGTTTGACACTTATTATTTTTGCAGATACTAAAGTCTATGCAAGACATCTGAGGATTACTAATAAAACAGTGTACAAAGCAGTAGAAAGCAAAGATCGCATTTCTTAAGGATCATATGTTGTGTGCTCTCCATTTGTAGTTTTGCCAAATATTTTTAAGTTTGTTGTTTTACTAAGAGATACAACAAATCTTTAAAAGTTTCCTTCACAATCCTTGCGTCTCTAGAGTTGTGCACTGTGTAATACATTGACAACCACTTTTAATCCTCAGACAGCTATGTTTTCTCAACAATGCTGGGATGAATGTTTTTCAAAACAACACACAATTATAACTGCAAATAGCAAAAAAATATATTAAAAGTATTGTTTAAACTTCTGATTTTCCCAAATTTATTCGATGTTTGGAGATATGGTGTCATACAAATGACTGGAAGAAACAGTATTATGCCATTTCAAAGAAACATCCAATACAACAATTTGGCCAACTTAAGCCCATTAATTTAATAAGTATCAATTTTTTTTTTGCATTTAATTTTACTAGTATATTAACTCAGGGCAGAGATTGTATCTTCTGTCCTCTCGTGTAGACATCCATGAAATCATGCACAAATGACAACCCAACAATGATAACGCTTCAAAGTTCTTTTCTGTGCATTTTCTTTTAGACAGGATATTCTCACCTCTATTTCATCCCATTTCAGATCTACAACTTTCTGTCCCACTTTTGGCTGCCACGTAGGTAAGGTCACGGTTGCTCTTGAACGAGGAAGAACAACGTCAGGTTCCAAGGTGGATGAGACCGGTCTGCTCTGCCTTGGTGACGTTGACTCTGTCCGTTCAGAGACTGGCAGGCTGTGAAATGAGTGCTCACAGTTTGTGCCCTCATAGCCTTCACTACAGAGACAGAGGTAGCCATCACCGCTGGTGCTGCAGTTACCATGGCGACAGGGGTTGCTGGCACAAGGATCTGAAACAAACTGGGAAAAACATATCATATGGGTCAATTACTGCATAGAAAGGATTTATTTCCGAGCTTTACAAAGACCATAAAACAGGATTCTTCTCCCCCCCTGTATTTATCTTCTAAACATATTTAGGAACCTTGATGTATCTTCACGGAAGTAAATTCAAAGGATTAAAGAGGAATATAGATTAATCTGTATTAACCACTTCTCTCGGACCATTTAAAGCTAATTCACTGTTGACACATGCTCGCAAGTGATAAACACAAAGTAGGAACATGGTCACTGTTCATAATCAGGAATTTTCAAAATCAATCTTAAAAGAGTAACCTATCTAGGGAAAACAACAAACATCTAGAAATTTCATGCAGTAACAGAAGTAGGAATGGGGCACAGAACTCATGCAGATCCCCAGGTCATGAAGAAGCTCTGTGTTGTCAGCACTAACCACCTCACACAATCCTGTTCATGGACACAATTTCCATGTTAAAGCAGCTGGGCCTTTTGCCCACACTTCTTTTCGTGGACAGCAGTTTCGGAATCTGATTCATTCTGGTGCTGAAACTTTCTAAGAGGAGTTATAAAGTTGGGACAAAAATGTGCTTCTTCTTACAACAGCGTTTGTAACAGTGTAGGACCAGTCTGAGCTCAGTTATGTAGGAAAAATCCTGTCCTATGCTTATCTGACATCTTCTAATTTCTAGCTTAAATTTATCTATGGCTAGTTTGTGTTCAGTTTCTTACGTCATCATTGACTTTCAGGTTAAATGTCTTTTCCCTCTCCTATGCTGATGTTTATATCCACAATGTATTTAGAGAATACATCTACAAACTCTTCTCAAGTTTCATATCATAGACTAAACAAGCCATACTTGCTCAGTCTCCTTGTGGAGGACAAGCCCTCCATTCACATGCTCATTTTCACACCCCAGACTCCAAAGTTTAGCATTGTCTTTTGCTAATGCATCAATACTTTTGCTAGTCCTGGAAATAGCTTCCTTGCTATTACTTCAGCAAGGTTTGCCTTAGTCAGAGCTCAGTCACACTGCTGACTCACTGTCATCCTTTGAAAAGCTAAGACAGCCAGGCAGTTCCCTTGATTTGTCCTCCCATCAAAGTGATAACCCATCACTGGAAACAGACATTATCTGCCTTTAAATGCAAATTTCACCCAAGTGCTCCAGTCTTAAAGGTTACTCAGTTCTTCCCTGTACAATACTCCAGCCCTTCCCTGCATAAGCAATGCTTCTTGCTATATTTCTCAATAAAGCACTACAGCTATTCATTATTAAACATTTGTTTCAATTATTGTAAGAATTACATAAGCATTATATATCATCAATGTCATAAAAAACAAGTATTAGGTCTACACTAGGAATTTTACGTTCCCATCAGTTCAAAGGCCTGGTGTCAGGGACACCAAGTTGTAATGTTACACTTCCTTATACAAAACCGTACTACTATTGACCTCAGCCAGAATTCTTTCTATTGTATACCCTCGCCTCTGTAGCATTTTTGAACAGAAAACAGAGGAAACATTATTATGAAAGTTAACTTTGGAGACATTTCATGATGAATGTCAGATTTTGTACTGACTGACACAGAAGAGTTGGAGGCCACGGAAGACAGTCCAGACTACATGGTCGACTCTTATCTTGTGGTTCCGTTACAGCTCTGTATGCTATTTACTTTGCTTGGGGACACATATCACATATACCAGGTGATACATTAGATATCAAGGTCAAGCTCTGACTTCTTCAGTTTTAAAACTCAACTATATAGCAAGTTTACATATACTTAATATACCAAGAATCAAAGAAGTATGAATTTTTACAGTCAGATGGTTTATCTCCTTTTTTTCTGCTGAAAATCTACAGAAGTTCACAAAGAGCAATTTCTAGATTGTTTTTCAGCAAAATAATATTTATAAGTGACAAAGAAGAAAAGAACAATTTCCAGGAAGGAACAAAACCTAGTTCTGTTCTATAGTTTGTCAATCACTTTTTAAGCTTGCTCCCACTGCCAAGCAGCAGAGATTTTCACAAACATTCCCTTTTTCTTTAAGAGTGTTGAAGATAAAAAGTGTTGAGTGTGAACAAAGCCCAGTTCAAAAATTGTTTGCAACAGTTTTTCATGTTCTAGTTGCTTGGACCAGGTCTGAGTTTCAAAGACATGCAGCTCTCCTATTGTTGGATAAGCTCTTTACTCATTCTTTTACAATTAATCCAAATTCACATTAAGTCATTTTTGATTAATGAATCAGCATTTATTCTATTCTGAGGAAATTCAGTTGTTCTGATCACACATAAAATGTTAAGGCTATTATTGGAAAACCTAGTAACAAGAAAGGAAATGTAACATTTTCAAACAATCACAAAGGGTGCTTTTTCCCCCTCACTGAATATATCCATTCATTTTACAAGCAAAATAATAAAAAGTGCTCTGTGATACATGTTATTTGCTGTAAACTGTTTTGAGTTTGTTTGACTGGAAACAGATGTGCTGCACGACAAGCACTGCCTACTGCTGCCCTTGGCACGTGCTGAAGAACGCCTCGCAAATTGCCACTAACCTTCCACACATGGTGGAAGTGAAAATAACTAAGGCTGTGTGGTTTAAATGAAGAATGAAAAAAGATGAGCGTAGATGTAGATGTAGATCTTCCGCTTTCTTGGAACTGAGCTTTATGAAGTACTTCACAGGACTTCCACATATCATTCCCTTTTCTTAGTTACTATTAATTCTAAAGCTCATTTTTCTTTCAGTAAGCTGAACAAAAAAAGAACATCAATGTCCTTTGTGCACATAAGTTTTCTGTTGAACTAAAGAAAGTTCATTTTGATTAGCAGTTCAAAAGAGATGAGGAAATAAAATAGATTGATTTGTGTTGGTTGTGGTTTCTCTAGTCCGCTCTGCAGTGGCAGCAATGGCTAGCAAGGGCTCCAAGAAACATCTTGACGCAGTGAACAGCATGGCTACATCAGGATTAAAAGGCAGCAAAGTTTCAAGGTTTAACCTTCAACAAACTTTTGAAGCTCACCAAAAAAAGTAAACAATATCCTTGATCTCCTAGCTGAGAGCTAAACATAACTGCATGGTGAGTACACAATTAAAAGGGCCCTTTTTCAGCCATTCCTTGTGAAGTTCACAGTATTTTAAAATACTATTGCACAGAGAAAAGGAGGAAGCAAGTCATATATATCCATACAGCCCATGATTAAATAAGAACACAATATAATCACTACTAAAATTTTCCAGGGTTTTTTTAGATGTAGAATTTCAATAATCTTCATTAAGAAAGTATATTTTGTATGTAGGTCTCTTGTTTTCACCCCTGATTCCACATTTAACAGTCTGTCTGTTTTAATAATACACTCAGTGATTAACCAGGCAGAGTCAGCATTTGCAGCTAACAAAGCTGTGCTAAAAATCATAAAATGTATTTGCATGCAATTACTATTTCATATGCCTGGACAGCTATAATTTTTGGCGTATTTTTCCAATAGAATCCTAAGATAGATGCATGTGAAGGTGTCCTTCACATCGCAGTTAATTTTCCAAAGGCAGACTGAATAGCACAAAGATGGTACCAACACTAGGCTTGCTTAAGAATCACACTCACAAGCATGGACGGTTTGCCAGCCACTCCAATTGCTTTCTAAGGTTTCAGCTTAAGACAAGACACCGCAAGATGTAAATCTGCAAGATCTTTCTGCCAGTACTCCCTGTGGTGACACCGATTTGTCATTTAATGCTCATTCAGCCTCTCTTCAGAGTGGTTCTTCTTGTTCTACCTGGAGACAGTCAGAGACCGTCTACCTGGAGACAGTCAGAGACCTTCAGGACACAGAATGGTAAGCCTATATTGAAGGCTGCAGACGAGCTCCTAAACACTATGCAAAACCTGCAACTCTCTTCTTAGCTGCGTTAGTACAAAAACTAACTTTTGGCTCTGTTTTTATTGCTGTTGCCTACACTCACAGACAGCATTATACCAGCTTGCAACTTCAGTAAAATACAGAAAAACCAGAGTAAATCCAGTCCTCAGACTAGGAATTCGGTGGATTGTTTAAATCCATTCTACCTCGCGCATGCCGACCTGTTAACAAAGCCAAGCTGCCACCGCAATGTCAAAGGCTGATATTTTACATGTGTCCAGTAGCACTCACATCACCTGAAATGGTCTTCAGATATTAAAAGCAGACATAGTCCAAAAGTTTCCATCTCTTCAGTGGCTGCCTGAGACAATTTTTCCAGCTAGAGGATAAAATGCTGGGGGTTTCAAACGTGCACAGTGACTTTAGCTGATCAGGATTTAGACAGCTAGTTTCTTCATGTGTTCTGGTAAAAACAGATCTTAGGAGGAATTTAAATCAGCTAAAGTAAAACTGGCTTTGCACCTACATTGCTGAAGATATTCCCCAGTACAAAAGCAGACAACTGTTCTCCAGGAAGAGATCATGGGAAGATCCACCACGTATACCGCAGAGAAAAGGGATCAGACAAGCCAACTTCAAGCTATGCACAGTACATTAAAAATTATCAACTTCTGAATACTTCAGAAAGAAAATAATTAAAGCCTACAGTCTAAGATATTATCAGTTTGTTTTTAATACAGTAAGTAAAAAAAATTACATTTTTTCTTATAAGCATATCTGAAATATCATACTATCTTTACATATGCATCAATTTAGGAAAAAGAGATGGAAACAGATTTAAATCTTTTACATAGCAATGGCAATAAAGATTATCTAGAAATGCCATCTGTTTGAAAGAATAGTTTAATTATGTTCAAACTATTATTTAAACTCAGCCTCATTCAGCCCTTCACACTGTGAAGTTTTGAATTCCATTCTATCACACATAAAATATTAATGCAAACTAAGAAATGAAAGACAAGAAAACAGGATTAATTGAAACAGAAAAAACTCCAGACATTCTAACAAGTGTCTACAGAAATAGCACTGAGATGAGTATATTGAAAAATGAATTTTCTTTTGTTTTGAGAAAAGACT